TAGAAAGAAGAAGCGGGCCTAGAGCTGATCCCTGAGGTACCCTAGACGTGGCCATGTACGTAAAGGAATACGCGCACCGTTCGCACGAGTAACACATGATCTATTAGACAAATGATTCTGAAACCAGTCGTGTAGCCCTCCACAGACACCGATATCACAAAGTTTTGATAAAACAATACCATGGTCAACCGCATCAAAGGCCTTACCCAGATCAAAGAAGACTACGTCAAGCTGGCCTCTGTGACACACAGCTTTAGACGCGATGGACATAAATCAAATTTGCTGTTGTCGAGCGTCCTGATAAAAATCCATGTCGGTTGGAACTTAATGCATTTCTTAAACGAAAGGACAATGTTTTGTGGACTACCATTTCGAAAAAGTTTCGAAAATGTACACAACAGAGAAACTGGCCTGTAGTTTGACGCAGTGGTTTACGACTTCCAGACTTATAGACTGAGACAACGACTGACTTCCTCCACATGTCAGGAAACACTCCTGCACTTGAGGAGTTGTTAAAAATATCATAGAGGATGGGTGTGAAATATTCGTGAAATGCTTTTACAAGTGTTACTGGAATACTGTCGTTACCTGAGGACATGCACTCTCAAGAATAAAGGGTGTCAAAAGATGTATCGTTACACCCTTTGTCCCATATAATACACCCCGAAAATTCAATTCGACGTACAGAGCTTTACAGTCTAACAGACGGCCCGAAATTTTACGAGGGGCTTGATAGCAGTGTGGTACAACATTTTAAATAGTTAAAGTACGTATCAAAGACCACATAAAGAAAACACTGAGTTTTTACAGTAGGGCCAAGAAAACCCCGATAATTTCTCTTGTTGTCAGTAAAACGTACATTAGCTATTTTAATAAGTTGTTCCACACGGCTATCAAGCCCCTCATAAAATTTCAGGCCGTCTGTTTGACTGTAGGGCGCTGTACGTCGAATTGAAGTTTGGGGGTGTATTATAGGGGACAAAGGGTGTAAGAATACACGACACCCTTTTTTCTTGAGAGTGTGGTAGGCCTCAGTTTTCTTATGCATTCCTGAACCATTCCCTCATCCACAGGCCGGGAAGAAATGGGTCCGTTCACACTAGGGGATGGCGGTTCTTGGTACCCACTCCCATTGTGTTCATATACCTTACTGAAATGAGGCGCGAATATATCGCATACACTGGATGTGGTCACATTCTCCTCGTTCAGCATAATATCAGGATGTATTAATTTTCCGCCTCGAGAACGAACATGTCGGTAGAGTTTTCTTGGATTTCTCTTTAAGTTGGATTCCACTGACTCCACATATATCTAATGATCAATCCTCTGAGGTTGCTTGCAGAGGCCTCTATAATGAATGAACTCAGCCTCCCGCATCAGGCTACCAGTATTTTTAAATTTACGGTCAAAGAACCTTTTTTTCTTCAGCAACATTTTTAAAATACGAAGAAAAGCAGGAGGGAAATTTTGACTTCTTCTGCTTCTTTAGGTGAATGTAATGATCCGTTCCCTCCTGCTACGTCGTGGTGAATTGAAGAACTTGATGATTGACGTCAGATGATTGCAGAATAGGGGACATGTCGAACGTAGAAAAGTGGTTATTGAATCCCACATAGTCACCAGCAGCGAAGTTCTGCATTTTGCCTAGATAAGTGAGACTAGCAGCCGGTATACGGCTGACAGGTACATTCAAGGTTATAGCCACCTCAAGTGCTGTATGATATTTGTCTGTCGGCACCAAAGGAAATTCACTCTCAATAACAGGTACGTTATCAATGTCTGATAAACAAAGGTCAAGGATAGCGCCTTTTCTATTGTTTGCCCTGCTAAGCTGATTCAGGCCCATGAAAGAGGCAAAGTCAACAAGATGATCGCCATTTTTTGCACCGTAATAATTACTTGAAACAACGCTGTGAGTTTCCCAGCATACACCAGGTAAATCAATATCTCCAATTACTAATAGTCTGCATTCACCCAGTTTGTCTGCTATATCCTCCATTCCATCAAGACAACCATTAAACTCCTCAGGTTCAGTGCACGGAGGAAAATAAAAAGTACCTACCAGAACGCGTTCTCTTTTATCACACTCCAGCTCTACCAACACAGATTCAGAATAAGTCTCAAAATCGGCGCGCCTTCTGCACTTCAAAGACCTATCAATATCAATCAGGACACCGCCTCCCATTTTCTCTCCGCGAGATAAATCACGATCACTGCGATGCACCAGAAACTCCACCGAAAAATACTCCCCAGACAGTATTTCTGGGCATAGCCAGGTTTCCGTGATACAAAACATAGAAAAACCAGTATATATAACATTACAAAAGAATTCACTAGCCTCAGTACGAAGGCCGCTAACATTTTGATAGTAAATGTGCGTGCTAGTCATTTGCAGGCCAGATGGCTGGGGGATCACTCTATACCAGGTGTCTCAAACTCATTCGATTGTGGGAGCCAGATAGTTTATCCCCGAAAAGACCAGGGCAAGTGTAGGAAAAAGAAATATTTCGTTGTTTTGAGATTTAAAACATAAATAAACATACAGCCTTGTTGCTTCTCGTTCCAAAGCAGTTGACACACCCAGCAACACCCTAGAGATTTTTTAGATAAGGAACTTTATGCTTTCTGCTTTTTTCTAGCTCATCGTTTTGCCCTGTTCAGCTTTTATTGGTATATATGACTACTTCGGGCCCAGGCCTCATGTTATAAGAAATTTAAAACACTACCATACCACAGTACTGGCAGTTTTCAATAGAACGAGAGCAACACGCCATCCTTGGCTTGTCGCACAATTCACTATGCTCAACAGTTATAGAAAAGAAATTCTCTTCGTGCGGCAGTTTTCGCTTTTCTGACTATTTTTATAGCAGCATATAAGAAATCAATTTCATTTTGAAGGTGAGGTCTGAAGGCTAGAAGCCCGAGCTCATAGCTTTATGTTTGACAGTTGCTTCTGTTGTGCAAGAGTTGACGCAGCAGAGGTGACTGCTTGAACAAAGAGCTCACACTTGTAAATCCTGTAGTTGTAATGGTACTGCCATTCCTGTTGATTTACGCGAGAGAGGGCTGAGTAACAAACATTTAGACGAAGCAATCCTTGGTGTCAGAATAAAACAACATAATGAAGCAAAATGCGCGAACTGAGCAGAGCTCTTTTTGAAACGGAAAAGAGTCGACATTTTAAAACTATTATTTATGGCTTATGTGGCTCTCGAGTTATGGGAACGGGGGCTCGCGTTCGTGGGGTGCATGTGGGCCGCATCACGGAGAGTCGCAGGCCGCGTGTTTGAAGCCTCTGCTCCATACGTTCACTCCCATCGTATACACACGTCTTTTCGTCAGCCGGCCGTGGAATTCCCTGAAGAGGCAGCCCTCCGGACAGATTGTCGGGTCGAACAATGCCTTAGTAATAATAAAAATAATAATAATAATAGTTCATTAGCTCGTGTTCCAAAATGTAAACACACGGGTCTGTCAAAGCCAGAAGGAGGCTTGTGGGACAGCACCCTATACACGCTAAGTTAAAAGTATCCCCAATACATTAGGTTCTAATTTCAGCACACATTATTCACGATCTGATTCGCAACATGCATGACAAACCGCACGCACAAACACGCAGTCACGACTATAGTCACAAATAATAATTATAATAATAATAGTTTATTTTTGAGTACGAACATAAATAAGGTACGGTTTCAAAACCTTTACGAATACAGCAGGCACGTAGCCAGGATTTTGTTTCGGGGGGTCCCGCCAATTACGAAATGCTGTATGAATGAGGGGGGAGAGGAGATCCCAGCAAAAGGGAAGATTTCGGAACCTCGGGCCCCATGCCCTCCCCCCCCCCCCCCCCCCCTGGCTACATGCCTGGAGTACAGTAATTTTCGCGATTCCTGAGGAGGCAACGTTTGTGATCCAGCGGCAATGACGTGACATTGCCGCTGGGTAAGAAACGGGAAGTTCGCGCCTGTCGAAGTGTGAAGCAAAAGGTTTCGCGGCCTGGCGGCGAAAATGTGATACAGAAAAACGGGCATTAAATACACGCCATTCGTGTTGAGAATAATTTAATAATTATGAAGAACTGGTGGTTTGGCCAGTTGGTGAACGTAATGAAGCACGGTACCCCCCCCCCCCCCCCCCTCCCCGAGATCACATGGCCCCCCTCCCCTAAGTCACGTGACCTCCCCCCCAAGGTCACGTGACCCTTCCCCCCTCCTCAAAAGCTGCGCTCTAATTCGGTGTTACGGGGAGTTGTAGACAGCTTCTCATTAACAAAGATGTGCCACAGACAACGGACAGGCGCCTTACACAAGGCGTGAGGCGCCCGTGTGTTTGTGAGTGTCTTCTTTCCTGTGTCCGTTGTTTTTTGCGCCTTACACCATACTTCGTAACCATTATGGGTTGTTCTGAACATATGTCGTTTCGGCATCGAGGCGGCAGAGGCAGAGACTCTAATAATATGAATGGCGTAGCAGTATTCTTTTTAACTTACCTTTCACTCGTCTCGACAAGGAAGTTTTTCTTCTTTCCATTGCCATTGTTTTCTTCTTTTTTGTTTTTCTTCTTCATACTTTTTGCTGCATAATATATTTAGTAGGGTTCTGCAGTGGCCCTGATCCATGGCCTACACTTCTCCATCCGTCCGAGCGGGTGCAGCCAACAATTAGAAGGCGTAGTACAGACAAACACCGACATGCGAACTAAGCTTAGCCGGTGATAGCACGCGTGTAGAAAGATGAATAACTCTCTGACCTTGCGCTTTGGGCACTGCTTGATTAGGCCCATCGACTCGTTGCATCGGCTACGTATGGAAAGTCTGACAGCATAAACAAAAACCACGGCATGACGAAGCTAATCTGTTCGTATGTGACGTTTATTTTTGCTTCTTGACTAACACCTTTTTTTTTCTTTTTTTTCATCAGGCGCAAAGCCCGTTTAGGCACGGCTGCTCGAACCCGCGAAGAACTCTCTGGGAACGGAACCAGCATTCGGTTGGCGACATGCACATTAGATCAAAACGAACATTTCTCCTGACACTGCTGCTTACCACATCAGCAACGCTCTTCTTCATTGCTCTCTCTTGCATGAAACGCCCAACGAATCCCACTAGTCCCATCGCCGTCAAATTCGACAGCAAGGAAGACCAACTACCGTTCTCATTTGACGTCTCCGAAATCCTACAAGACTTCGATAGCAGGTTCGCTCTGAGCCCGTTCAAGCTAGATTCGCAGTCGCTTTACCGCGTCCACGAATCTGCCATGGTCGCCCACAATGATTCATCGTTCGGCAACTCGACCGTCTGCCTCGCGACCATAGCGTCCCTGGACCATCTACGCTGGATACCCGAGCTTTCGGAACACTGGACCGGGCCCACGTCCATCGCGGTTTTCTACCGACGGACGTTAGACCTAAGGCTCCTGGTGGCCTATCTGACACTTTTGAGGACGTGCTTCAAGACCATCGGGGACAACTTCAACTTCCACTTCGTTACGCCTGCGCTCCAGAACTCTACGCAAGACGATGTCGTGTTGTTAAATTCGTTCGGTGTTGTGACGTGTGACGACCACAAGAGGCTTCTAGAATCCTTCCTGGCGGTTTTGAAAGAACAGAAGTGGGATATGGTGCCCTTTCCGCAGAACCATCTTCGTAACGTTGCCCGTGACGGTTGTGCCCGAAGTCCTTTCTTCTACTTGACGGACGTGGACGTCATGCCACAGTATGGACTGCACCGGCGCTTGGATCGGTTCTTGATGCGCAGTGCATCGTGCGAAAAGTGTCTCTACGTTGTGCCCGCTTTCGAAGGCACCGAAGTGGCTGAACATCCTAGGACTAAGAAGGAGTTGCTAGCAAGGTAAGAACAAAACTTTTTGTTGTACCGTTAGTGTAATAGACTTAACCTGTGTGCATGACTGGTCTCGACCACTTTAGACGCGAACTGATAGTGAGAAGGGCCATCTGTCAGCAGGACTGCTTCAAGAACATTGACACATCTGCATGCAATGCCCAAGGGCATCCATCGGAAGTGAATATGTGTTGAGAATACGCCGCGCGGTGATGTCCTGGGGGGCTATGTTGCACGTTTTGGAGTCCCAGGAGACTAGGGAGAAGGAAGTGACGTCAACAACGCAGCAAATGCAGATTGGATGTTGATTTTGCCTTCTTCTGTCAACATCCAATCTGCGTTTGCTGTGTCGTTGACGTCACTTCCTTCTCCCTAGTCTCCTGGGAGTCCAAAACGTGCAACATAGCCCCCTGCTGCTTCTGTTTGTGTTACCCGATGTAATGTCACTGGATCCTGGGAAAGGAACGCCTTCCCTGCCTGCTAATCGGACACAAACATATACTAACAGTACAGACGACCAAACCTTGCAAGGCGATTGGCTGATCGGCCTTCGTTGTCATGGCAGTCGCCATTTTGATCCAATAAAATCTTGGAAACTTCAAGAAAATCGCTTTTAAACCGGCCCCGCCAAGATCTTAATGGAGCATCATCGTGCTGGAAGCCCTTACTCGGCAATATAAACATCTTTGGCACTGTGATGCAATCACCTTATCAATCATTCTTATCTTCGCAGATATTTTACACTTGTATTGTTTTCGAGTGTTTCAAGATGGGAAAATCATTTTTCAATGCCGCCAAGCACCGCCAAGATGTGCACTTGTTTCGCCGGTGTGACTATCGAAATCTCGGTTATACAGAAGACGTTGTTGCCCGTCACCAGTGAATTTAGATCGGCTCACCAAGAATGGAGGGTTCAAGGAGAAACTGCTCATTGCATGAACCAAAATGGCGACCATAAGGGGAGACCTTGGCGCTCTTTTCACGGGATCCAGTTGAAGTTCAAAAAACGCTTATTGAATTCCAATAGAGTTACTTTAGCCCGATGCACACGCACGTTTTGAATTTGAAGATATATTCATCCATTGTTGTTGTTTTTTTTGTCGCATCGCTTGCTGCTAGCGCGTACCGAAGAAAAATATAATTAAACTATAAACATTAAATATATAAACATGAATACATAAACATGATTCGCACTTCACAAATAGTAAATAGGTGCAAAACGTTAGGCCGAACTCGTACCCAGAGGCAGCAAAGCGTGTGCACTTTCTAAGAGCGTAAAACGGAGCGGGTGAGCAAATGGCCAAGTTGTCATTGTCGCGCAGTATGCAAGCGCAAATTGTAAGCTTTCAGCAAGCATTGGTTTTTGGCGTACTCATCCCATCGTCACTGTCACTTTGCAAGGCAATTCTGTGCGCGAACAGGGACCATAAATCTTGTTGGGATGCAGCCAACATTTTTCACGTCTGGTCATCCCTTCCGAATCTGGTAAGCAACTCTAACGCTGGCTCGGCGCCAGCCCTACAGGCCAAGTCAGTGCTCGTGTTTCTTTGGCACTCCAGACCATACTTGCGTTACGGTGGTAACTTCACACATAAATTCCAAAGTCAAACGCCAAAATACATACATAGTGTTAATAAAATAAATTTAGAGGAAAGAGTTCGCCATACTCGCATGTATTTTGGCCGCCTCGGGACGGCGGGGCATAAACGCAAGCGTCGGTTGTCGCAATGGGCCCAGATTGCTGGCGAGGCCTTACTACGGTGCAGTCGAAATCCACTTATAACGATACCGTACATAAAGATGTACTGCTTATAACGATAATAATCCCTGGAGAAGGGGAACCAGAGGGACGAAGGACAAACACAAATCTTCAAACACAGCTAGGTGACTGGTGAGCGGTCGTCATTCTTGTCCAGCTCGCTTGCACCTTTGCATTTAATTGCATTAGAATTATGCTTATAACGATCAGTTTTTAGCCCAAATACAACGATAATCGGTTATAACGACTGAATTTTCGGGTTTTCTGATTATCGTTATAAGTGGACTGCAATGTATGCACGCAGGAGCAGCAAAATATTGCCCGCATGCAAGGGTAGTAGGTACCCTTTCTTGACTCTGCATTGCAAGAAAACAAAACTTCAACGAGTTGTGGCCAAACGAACACGCCTTACCTGTCGTCTGCTTTCCTTTCGCGCTATCCTGACGCTTTCTTGTTTTTTCTCTTGAAACCACCGATTGTCTGCGCTTACGATTTGCCGCGTTTCACTCGCGTCTTTATCTATCTAGATACCCAAGTCACAGCGGAAGACGCCAGCTGAGCGAAAAATCCTCGACTGTCTGGAACTCACCCGGCCACTTATAGTCGCCTACTAAAGCTTGTTGCTTTCGTCCGAGTGACCAAAAGTTAATTTTAAAATTTCGCACATTTGCAGCAGTTCTTTTTTTTTTTTGATGGGTTAATGTTTACGTTGTCCTTCCAATCCGTTTTTTTTTTATGTAGAATTATGTCTTTCGCCGCGCTTGGAAAGGGGGTGTAAAGTTGGAAGGTCGATGTCACGAAAACTTGGTCACGGAAGTGACGTCACACAGATAACACAGGAGCGTCCACCGATTTGCGTGGCCGCGCTCCTTGACGGCGCGTCGTGCCTGCTGCGTGCGCACGCGCATCCATTTTACTCGCTAGCGTTCTTTAGCTACCCCCCCCCCTCCTCCCCTCCCGGATTTCTCGACTATCTGGCCTCCTAACGTGCAGTAGACCATTTCAGCTTAAAGTCTCACACCCTTTCACATTCGCACCCTCTTCGAAAGACTTGGCGTTGTCCCAGAGGACGTCGGCCTCGACGTCGTCCTTCAGATTGCCCTAGAGGTCGTCCTAGAGGTCGTCCTTAAGATCGCCCTAGAGGTCATCCTAGAAGTCGTCTTTGATGTTGTCCTTTATGACGTCGTCCAGGAGACTGTCCTCGGCGAATGCTATCGCAATTGATAGCAAACCAACAATAATAGTTTCCGCAGCAATTTCGTGTCTCCTGGTTTGTTCGCTTCAACGCGAGGCGCTTTTGTCTGACTGAAACAGCGATAGACGCCGCTCCGGCAGCCGTGATTCCAGAATCTTCGCTCATCGCTCTGGACAGTGGCCGAGCTCGCGTCTTCCGCGGCATGGGCAGTTCACGCGACTCTCAAGTGCAACTCGGCGAAGCGTTAATCCCCCCCCCCCCCCCGCCTTCATTTCTTGTGCCACCCACACGTAATTCTACCAAAAATTAGGCAGCAAAAAACACCTATGCATCGACCTTTTTTGTTTTTCTTTTTAAAGCCAGTTTTTTGTGCGCTTGCTTTTTTTTTTTTTTTTTTTTTGGAACGCATTGGTAAGAACATGAAATAAACTTATTTTAGTTGCGTTGTTCCGAAATCACGAAAACGGAGATTCTTGACAATAAAAATACTGCGAAAGGCATATTGCCACACGCGTTGCCGAGCGAGCGCGTGCGTGGCCGAGTAGTTCGCGTGCTTGACTGTCACGCGAAGGATCCGGGTTCGATTCCAAGGAGCGGAATCTTCTTTTATTTATTATTTCTACATGGCGTTCTCGTAAGTTCGAGAATCTTCTCGTCCGATCCAGTTACGACTGTTCTACTAGGCGAACGTTCTAGGCCGAATGTGCCAGAAGCCCACGCGTGTACAGAAGGGCTCCGCGTGGCATGCCGGAGGCCAGCTTTCGCCCCAGCGTTCGACTCTGCTGTCACGTTGACTTCGACGCCCGCGACGCTCTGCTTTCTTCTGTTCCTTTTTTTTTAATTTTTGGGCACAAGTTCGCCGCATTAAATGTTTTGTTTCTTGAGTAATTATCGCCTCATCACTTGTCATTCGTGACAATATGAAAACAACAGCGAAAGTCAAGTAGATGCGCGGATGGTTGCCGCGGTGTGACACGCGTTTGTTGAAGAACTAAAAATCGTGCCTATAAATCGCTGCTATCGCCACGCTGATTCTCGACAAAATGCGTTAGCATATAGGGCAGGGCTTTCGACTGCGCGAGGGATGGGAATTCTAACGTCGCAACCGTCCGCATACTGTTGTGTTCGGAGAGTCAGACTGTTCTCCCGGGCGTCGGCTGTTTCGGATTCAGCCACCGCAGCCTCACCCGAAGCTCGATCGTCGCCTACAGTCATTACTGTTGTCTTTGCGCCTCGGTTCTACGTAGTCGCGAAGGTTGCGCCACCACCACGGCCGCTCGATCCCTTCCACTCCCGGTTCCGTGTCGCATCACTTGGAAGCGTGCCAGAATACTATTTCCCTCTTGTAAGAGGGAAAATGGTAGTGGTGCAAAACTATCGATAGTACTATAGTCGCCAGAAATCTGACTATCGATAGTAAAAAGACTATCGATAGTCGACTATCGATAGTTGACTATTGAAAGACTATCGATAGTCGACTATCGAAAAACTATCGATAATCGACTATCCAAAATCTATGGATAGTACTATCGATAGTCGACTATCGGAAAATGATCGTTAATCGACTATCGTAAACCTATCGATAGTACTGTCGACAGTTTACTATCGATAGTTTTGCGACACTAGTAGTTTGCGTCGCTCCCTCTTCTCTTTTTCTCGCTTTATTTTTTTTTAAATGGGACACCAACTAGCCCAAGCACTTACCATGCCAACTTGGATTCAGCTTTCAGTGATGACGAAGATGGGAGTTTGGGCGAAGAGAGGAGGAAGGGAGGCGAGTGGCGGTGCGGCAACCGTATTCGCTCTAGTGGTGCAAAACTATCGATAGTATCGATAGTCGATTTATTGATAGTTTTGCATCACTAGAAAATGGACGTAACGAGAGAACCAACGGAGCGAATGAAGGTGGGGGAAACCGCGTCGCGACCTCACGAAAAAATTCCAGTCTATACTCCGTTCATCCTTGAGTTGAGACCTGAAGCTTCGCCGTCAGTATACGAGCTTTCTGGCCTTGATAACAGAAGTGTGAACGCGCAGGCACGCGCAGCCAAAGCA